AGGTGGCGCCTGCCTGGCTAAGACTAGGGACTCTCCACCAGAAAAGTTTCATAGTGCTCCTTTAATTCGATCATATGCAATTTTCATAACTGACTGACAAACTGACAAATGACTGATTGTTATAGATGCTTAATGTCATTATTTCAGAAAAGTGGATGAATAATAAAGAAAAACAAATAGGCATTGCTAGTTTGTCTCATTTACATAATAATTAATTACCTCATGAATGGAGATTTCTGTCAGTTTATTTGATGAGCATTCAAATTGTATAATCATATATGATTCATCCAACAGACATAAACAAATGATGGTGTGTTTCTTGCCTCTTACAGGGCTTATATAATTACACTTTTTTCTGATGTATGTTATACTGTTGTTTTCTCATCACAAACATACTTGGAGTTGTGTTTGTTTCATTCACACATGTTTAACACATAAATTAAGACTGTGCAATTAATAGAATTTTGAGTGTGATTTCGATTTGTGTGTCAAACGATCTCCAAAGCACGAGCTCATATAATCAAGTTTATTTTGGGATATCTTTTATGTAAATAAGTATGTGTATTTAATTTTTTTAAATATAGAGATTGTACAACAGCTGGATATTTAGTTTATTTTGGATACATTTTTATATTCAAAGTATATTTTGTTAATTTTATGTTTTATACTTTGCAAAACTGCTCTAAGGTACATATTTGCAGCCTATATTTATTTTTAGTTAGAAAGTTTTGCATAAATTATCAATAACAAAGTGTGTGGTTTTGTTTGGTTTTTTTTTAGAGAAAAATGCTGAATAAATGCATCATGTAACTAAAAAATAATAGTTTGAATAATCGTGATTTCAATATTGGCCAAATTGTAATTGTGATAATGATTTTTTTCATAATCGAGCAGCCCTAACACAAATCCTGCACTTTTTGGTTCATACTCCAGGTATTTTATTGAGCAGGTCATTATTTTATTGAGTTTTAAGTCATTATAACATGACTTAAAACTCACAAGAATCCATTTTGTGTAATATAGGACCTTTAATAATATCTGTTCTGAATATCTTCTACTGATAATGATGCACAACCACCTCTATTTTACCTGACTTGAGACCAGGCTCATGCAAAACTTATTTCCAATTTATTTGCAGTATTTCTGCTCCTAAATTTGAGGCGATTGGCGTCTTAAAAAAACATCTAGGCGTCCTGAGTTTGCATATAAATCACTGCATTAGACAGATCTGATTTCTCGCGTCGATGGAAAATAATTTTTGGAAAAGAGTTGTTTACCGACACCTCCGCTGGTGCGTGTTTGGTTTTTACCCAGGCAGAGGAGGCAGCCATCATTTGTGCTTGGCTGGACAGAGGCAGGAAGAGGAATGTGAATGAGGGTGAGGAAAAAGAGAGAGAAAGAGGGGGAGAGGGAAAGAGAAAGACAGAGAAGAGAGAGGGAAGGGGACAGTGAGAGAGAGAGGAAAAGACGAAAGAGACGGAAGTATATAGAGAAAAATAAAATGATTTACCATAATATTGAAACTACTTTATGTCGCTGACACAACAAAAATAAAGCAAGATAATCCCAAGGAAGACTGAGAGAAGGAGAGAGAGAAAAGATAGAGATAGAGATAGAGAGATATGGGGAAGGTGGAGAGAGAGAGGGAGAATGCAGATATAATGCAGAAGAGGAAAAGGGAGACAACTCGAGGGAAGCATAAGTGCATAAGTGAGACAAAAAGAAAAAAAAATTGAGAGTGGGATATTATGTATAGAGAGGGAGGAGAGAGACAGAGAGAGTATGAAAGAGAGTGGCAGGAAAAGAGAGACTGAGAGAAAGAGAAAGAGAAAGAGAGAGGTGTGGAAGGGGAAAAGGGGAGAAGAGGGAAAAGGGGGAGAAGAGGGTACGAAGAGTCAATGAGAGAAAAAGAAGAAAGAGACAGAGAAGAAGAGAGAGAGAAGAGAGAAAGAGTCGGGGGCGGAGAGAGAGAGACTGAGAAAATGAAAGCAAAGGAGAAAGAGTGAAAAATCAGAGGGAAGGAAAATGGAAGTGGAGAGAGAAAGTGGTGGGAATTAGGGACAGAAAGAGAGAGAGAGAGGGGGAGAAAGCAGAGAGAGAGAGAAGAGAGATAGAGACAGAGAAGGGGAGAGAGAGAGACAGAGAAAAAGCAAAAGAAAGATGGAAGTGGAGAGAGAAGGTGGGGGGAATTGGGGAGAGAAGGAGAGAGAGAGAGAGAGGGAGAAAGCAGAGAGAGAGAGAGAAGGAGGGTAGAGAGAGAAACAAGAAAGAAACAGAGAAGGGGAGAGAGAGAGAGCGACTGAGAAAAAGAAAGCAAAGGAGAAAGGGTGAAAAATTTGAGGATAAAAAGATGGAAGTGGAGAGAGAAGTTGGGGGAATTGGGGAGAGAAAGAGAGCGAGAGAGGGAGAAAGCAGAGAGAGACAGGGTGGAGAGAGAGAGAGAGAGAGAGAAGAGAGAGAGAAGGGGAGAGAGAGAGACCGAGCAAAAGCAAGCAAGGGAGAAAGGGTGAAAAATCCGAGGGTAGAAAGATGGAAGTGGAGAGAGAAGTTGGGGGAATTGGGGAGAGAAAGAGAGCAAGAGAGGGAGAAAGCAGAGAGAGACAGAGGGGGAGAGAGAGAGAGAGAGAGAGAGAGAGAGAAGGGGAGAGAGAGAGACCGAGCAAAAGCAAGCAAGGGAGAAAGGGTGAAAAATCAGAGGATAAAAAGATGGAAGTGGAGAGAGAAGTTGGGGGAATTGGGGAGAGAAAGAGAGCGAGAGAGGGAGAAAGCAGAGAGAGACAGAGGGTGAACAGAGATAGAGAGAGAGAGAGAGAGAGAAGAGAGAAAAAACAGAGAACGGGAGAGAGAGCAACCAAGAAAAAGCAAGCAAAGTAGAAAGGGTGAAAAATCAGAGGGTAGAAAGATGGAAGTGGACAGAAAAAATGGGGGGAATTGGGGAGAGGAGAGAGAGAGAGAGAGAGAGAGAGGCTTGTACAGGTGAGGTCTGAAAGCTGTCTTTGTACAAGAGCCTGGCAGAGCGTACACTAGTCTTTTTCACCTTGGGGCTTTGACTCTGTTACGCTTCAGTTTACGTTTGGTAAAAATATGCAACTCCAAAACCGCCCCTGGGCAAATAACAACAAACCCTTCTGGAGATTTCTAACGGCCGCTTCAAAGATTAAAAGTGTTTTTCTGAGAATCTCAATCAGGCACTTTTTTTCTCCTTCTCTGCACCTCAACTGTAAAAGCAACCTGGAGCTGAGAGCATGGTCCTATTCCTGCTTTAGGAACTATTACATGCAAAGACATTTCAGAACATTTAAGTTTAGATCGTGTCTTGTAATTGCGTTCTTTCTGTATGTCTCTATCTATTTATCTGTGTAGTTATGTATCTGTTTATTATGTATTTATGACTGTGTGTGTTTATTTGACTGCACTGAACTGTATATAGGATAAATATCAAAGTTGACATTGCTTTGATAGTTACTTCACCCGGGAATGGAAATACAGCACACAGTGTCATTGAAGTTTTACAAGTAGTCCATAGAATATAGATGAAAAGGCAGGAGACTGTCTGGGTGTCTTATGTCGAAATCACAAATCACAATGGTGCGGGGGACTTGAAAGTTCAACACTATTCAAGCCCTGGTGATGCTTCCACATGAACAGTTTAAATAAACTATATAGTGTCATATAGAAGGATATATTGAAGAAATGTGCTGGTATCAGAGGACTATATTTCCTAAAAAACAGCACATGATAAGATAATAAGATAAGATGAGAAAAAAACGAGAAAACATGAGATGAGAAAGTGATTTTGTTGTGTGAGTTACATTGCAACTTTATATTTGCAATTTCATGATGCCAAATTGTAGCCAGCCTGGTGCCACCTAGTGCCTCCGCTCAGTTTAATTTCTCTCTAGCGCATAGGTCAGGAATCAGAATACACTAGATGGTTTGCAGGAACCCCAGAAGTTGTAGACCGCGCACCGGCCAATCAGCAAAGAGCTGTGAAGCCATGGAGTCAAACTCAAGTGCCTGTCTGGGTCTTTTTTGTGGTACAGCAGAACAGTGAACAAAGAGGTCGAGATGGATGTAGACGAAGACTTACATTCTGTGTTGGCAACGTTTCCTGAGATCGAGGATTTAAGGCCGGAACAAAGAGAATGTTTGGTGAATTTTATCAAGGGGAAAGACGTTATTGCCCTTCTTCCTGCGGGATTTGGTGCATTACATATGTCACGACCAAATAATAGCGATTGGTTACATAAAAAAAGTACCCGCCTACCATCAAGCGAACAAATCTTAATGCTGTGAGGTCAGATGGTTTCCACGAAGTGAAACCAGCTGATGAATCAGGCTAACCAAATTGCTTTGCTTTAAATAAAAATGGAACTGTGTGTACAAATTAATAACAAGACACAATTTGTTGATCATATTTATTTTTGACACTATTTCAAACTATTTCATCTTGAAGTAAAACCCCAAAACAAAGGTAGTCTTCATTCACGTATTGCACAATTCATACACAATTCGTGATTCAAAGCACTTTACAGAATAAGAAAGACATTAAAATCACAATACAAACAAATCAAAACATAAATAATAATAATAAAATGAACATTAAAAGAGAAAAGAGATGATTGTGGAATACAAACACATATAAAGAAAGTATTTATGTCTTTGCTGGGACTCTAACCTATAGTATGTAAACCCTTAGATAGACAACATGATTTGAAGTTAAGATATGTGAAGATATTGAATTTAAGTTAGGCAAGTAGTAACTATGATTCAGGTTAGGATCAGTGTCCAATTTTACGTCAATGTAATGTCCCCAAAAAGCATGTGTTTTTGTGTGCCTGTGCTTTGACTGTAATAGCTGCTGGGCTGAGTGAATGCATCTTTTCAGAAACTAACCGTCATAACTGTCAGATTCCATCCCAGAGCAAGTGTCTAACGCAGTGTGGCTTTGGGAGCATTTCAAACTCTGTACTCATCTGTGCTTCTGTTTGTTTACCCAGGTGTGGACGCCGGAGTGGGCATCATGAAGCAGCATCGCCCCCAAAACTCATACGAAAACACCCTGCGAAAATCTACCACTATCACTCTCCTCAGCGCGGGACAGGAGAAGAGACGGATATCGGAGCTACAGGTTATGGCAGGATTTTGAAAGTCTATGGAGCATTCAGGAGTAGAGTAAGATAGATCTTTGACTGTACCATCTTGAGATATATTTTTTTGACTGGCAAAGCTGGTGAGACAGGTCCAGAAATATGTCTACCTCAAAAAGCATCTAGGGTCATCTTGAAGTTCGACGAAGAAGACAAAAGATAAGTGAAAATTTCAATACTTCAATAACTTGATTATTTTTGCAGTATTTCATTACCAATTTGAGAAATGGACTCCTGAATTGGAACACAAATCGCAGACAATTTCGAAGTGTGGCGTCCATGGAGGAGACCGAAGGAGAGTGAAGTTCCGAAACTTTTTTTGGACTGTCCCAATCTAAGGCAGTGATGTCCTTACCAAAGTATCACCCCAAATTGAAGTTTCCTTGTTAATGGTCCAATCCCTGCCCAATCGAGGCGTATTGGAAGTACAAGCTCTAAATGCAGGCTCGCAAGAAGTATGTTTTGCTGGGTTTGTGCGCGTGCTGTTGGCTGCTCCTCTTCTACTGGGGTGGAGGGGTACAGCTAAGGGTGCTACGGCTCTTAACACGGCATAGAGCGGAAGTGGTGAGATTTTGGCCCAACTGGACCGACCGAGCCTTCCTGCCCAGATATGCCCACCTGGAAGAACTACAAACCGATCCGGGAACATCGGAATCGCCAAGGCAACGGCGTCAAGCGTGGTCGGCCATTTACAAAGACAGCCGATGCCGCATGGAGACTTGCTTTGACTTTTCCAGGTGTAGGCGAAGAGGGCGTGAAGGGTTCAGAGTGTATATTTATCCGTCGGAGAAGAATGATCGCGTTTCCGAAAGCTACAAGAAAATTTTGACGTCAATCGCGGAGTCCAGATATTACACGACCGATCCGCGTGAGGCTTGCCTGTTCGTACTTGGGATAGACACTCTAGATCGTGATCAGCTTTCGGGACAATTCGTGCAAAACGTTGACGACCGTATCCGTGGTTACCCGTTATGGAACGACGGTCGGAATCACTTGATATTTAACTTATATTCCGGAACGTGGCCGAACTACACAGAAGACCTCGGGTTCAACATCGGACAAGCCATGTTAGCGAAAGCAAGCCTCAATACGGAACATTTTAGACCTGGTTTTGACATATCTATTCCACTGTTTTCCAAGGATCACCCTCAAAAAGGTGGGGAGAGGGGTTGGTTAGTGCGAAATACTGTACCGCCGAGACGAAAATACCTGTTGATGTTTAAAGGGAAGCGGTATTTGACGGGAATAGGATCGGACACAAGGAACGCACTCCATCACATACACAACGGGAAAGACATCGTTTCGCTGACGACCTGTAAACACGGGAAGGACTGGGAGAAGCATAAAGACGCTCGCTGTGACCATGACAACCTGGAGTATGAGAGGTAAGGAACATTTACTATTAACGTGGATTTGAAGCAGATTTGTGACAATGACTGTGGTTGCAAACTCACCAAATCTGATTCGTATTTCATTTCTAGATGTTTAAAAGTAGGTGGCCTGTGTAACTTTTCTGGCATAGGGTCCACATTCTCCTTGTCTCCGAAGATTTTATTGTTTTGTCTGAAATGTTCTGACATGGCATTAAACATGTATTCAATAACATGGGTTTTTATTGACCTAAAAACTTGCATTATTACTGTCAGTGGACTCGCCTCTTCACAGATCTGACAAGTAACTTTGCCCTGTGGTGTCACCAGCTGTATCAACAGAGATAAATAAATGTAATGCCATACTTTGGAACATTCCAGACAATATCTCCATGGAGAGAAGCAAGTGACGGAGCTTCCATCAGAAAAATTACACAGTGCACTTTTAAAGGGACTTGCAAACAGCACAATTTGATATAAGGGCTCATGGACTTTCAATTTAATACTATTTTAGCTCAAAAAAATCGAATAATAATCAGATTTGGAGTGTGCATGTAATAGCAGCCAATGAGGAATATGGATTGCTTTTTTTTGAAAGAGAAATTGTTGGTTGGTAGTAAAGAAGCAGGAATTGGCATTTTAATATACTGACTTATTGTTCAATACACGAAACTTGAAGGATATTTTTTCAAAGGCTCAAAATGCATCGTTTTACTAGAGGAGACGTTACCTGCCATCTCCTATTACAACATCCTCTTCTAACACATGAGCTGAAGTGGGCTGATTAAAGTGTTTAGTGTTTAATTGGAAAGTTTGGATTTTAATATATGATTAACTCAGTGGGGATAGATATACCATATAATGTGTGTGTGAACCGAGATTGAACATGCTGAAATGTTGACAAACCAGAAAAGCACAGTCCAGCTAATATTGACTGAGTTTATCATCTTGATGAAAAATATATTGACAGAGCTGGAGAGCGGAGCACTTTACTGTTTGTAATCCTGGGATCTGCTGTTGCCATTAAAGTACACTGGTCACCTATAATTACATGTGAATCTGAAGCACTTCTACAGGTCAAAACATGCTGGTAAAAGTGAATCCCCAATGTATTCTTTTAAAGGGGCACTATGTAACATTTTTGGTGGAGCGTGTGCCACCTACTTCAATAGTATGACATTAAATGTATCAGTTTTCATGGGAAAGAGTCAGTGGCATCACCAAGCCGAGTTACAGGTCATATCTCTGGAGAGACAAGCCAATGCATGTTTTTCAAGGTGTTGTTGAGCAAGAAAAACACCTGTAATTGCATAAATAAATACATGATAAGTATGTTTAATGCCATACTGTGGAATATTTCAGGCATTGCAGGAAACAATCAGGTGGAGGATTTCTCACTAGAAAACCTACATACAGTACACAATTAAAGGAGCTATATCAGGGGTCATCAAACTAAGGCCCGCGGGTCGACTCCGGCCGTCCAGCACCTCTGTCCCCCACGACCTGAACGGGCCCTATGAGCCAATCCTCAAAAGTTGTCATGGCTTTTTTTTTTTTAATTACTTTTACTACTTTTTTATAAGTGAGTGAGTCTGTCTTTATTTATATAGCACTTCTTCATAGACATATATCACAAAGACTCTTTACAGAAAATTATAGATTCATTATTCTTTATTTTAATTATTACTTTAATAACACGTCTGCATCTTGTCTTTTGTTGATTTTTTCAATAAAAAAAATTAAGATTACATGAACTGTTTACATTTATATTTAAATTGTTACATGGTGTATTTACATTTGTCGCCGAATTTTCGTGACAGTCAATGCACGTGCAGAGTTCTGTAGTGCACTTAAGGACAGCAAAATGGTGAGTGTTAAAGTACAAAAACTTGACAGAGAGTGCAGAGTTTTCAAAGAACAGTGGACGACCGATTATTCTTTTGTTCAGTGTAAGGAGCCTGCAGTTTTTTCTGATATGTAAAGAAAGTGTGGTAGTTTTCAAAGAATATAATCTGCGTCCTCAGGGTCATACAATTCTGTTATACGGCCTAACCGACCCCGGCCCCCATCACAGTCAGGAGAGATAATGTGACAAATAAAATTAAAAAAAAGTTTGGTGACCCCTGATCTATATAATGCTAGTGTTTCCTAATCAAAAGCATATCTGTAGTTGTGTTTTGTTTCATGCACAATCACACATGTTGAACACTCAAATCCTGCATATTTCTTTAGTTCTTCTCTCAAAAAGAAAACATTATTCCTTCTGATGTCATGTAACTTGAAAACTACTGCTTCATCTCAAGGTAGAACAGAGCATTTTGATCTTTGGAAGTGCAGACTCAAATATGTGTGAATGAAACAAAACAAAACAAAACTCCAGGTATGTTTTTGATGAGGTAACAACATTATAAAATGACTTGAAAGCTCAGTGAATCAATGTTGCACACTAGAGGACCTTTAAAGTCTATAAGTATTACTTTTGTTCAATATAGTATTATAATAACTTTCTCCGTATATACTCCTGTAGTGTTTATAAGCCAATTTCCATGCTCTGTCTATCTGTATTCCTGCAGGAGAAATATCACTGAGCAAATTCACACCAGGAGACTACATAAACATCTTCACCCATTTTCAAATATAGCTAAATGTTGACACTATTGAATTTTTATTTTTTTTTATTGCTCATAAAAAGTTAGAGCACAAATACAGCGATGGCTTTCCCTGTCAAATATGGTTTCGTTTTATGTCCAATTTGCTGCGGTCTCGTCTTTTTGCGCTAGTTTAAACTTTACACACTGTTTTATTGCTCCGTGTTTGGATGTCACACATTTTCTACAAGCAATTCTGTGGTGCTGTCTCCCACTGTTATTTCTGTCTCGCGTTTATGACATCACAATTTGTACCGCTGGGTTTTATGAAGTCTGGCAGAGTCTGATGACATCAAAGACCCTGGCACACTCATGTCTCTGGAAATTTAGGATTTGGGTCACATTTAAAAGAGAGATCATTTGTAGTTTTAATGTGAAAATTGGACTTAAGTTGTGCTGCTCAACCTGAAGTAACAGACCTGGATCTTCATGATAAGATATCTCATATGAGCAATTGCACACATTTTGAAGATTGTAATATAAAGTAGGATTCCCCATCAGATAGTATTGTTTTAATGTATTCTAATAACCACAAATAAATGTATTCTAGTAACCACAAATGGTTGTAAATAAAGCAAGTTGTAAATAAACAAGATTCAAAGCTATTATAGTTTAAAAGTGGAAATCATAGGGTTCTCCACAATTTGACTTAATAAATAATCAGTGGTGGAAGATAACAAAGTACAAATAGTAAAGTACTGTACTCAAGTAAAACATTGAAGTATCTGTATTTTAATTAAGTAAATTTTAAAGAGGGTACTTTTTTCTTTTACTTCACTACGTTTGAAAGAGCAGGTATCTGTACTTTTTACTCCACTACATTTTAGAATCCTTGATATTCACTAGGTTTTGAGTTCAATCTTCAGCTTTCAGCAAACAAAAATAAATACACAAAATTCATAAGAAAAATAAGAAATCAAAATCTGCATTTTTCATATTTTTTTATCAATATCACTACATTTAACGTTGAAACATTTTTATTATTTTATTTATTTAACATTTTCACAAATTAACAACACTTAATCAAAACCTGTGTGAAATATTTACTAATTTTTATATGGGTACTTTAATACTTTTATGTGTTTTTTTTTTTACTTTTACTTTTTGCCTCTGTATCTGTACTTTTACTTAAGTAACAAACCTGAACACTTCATCCACCACTGTAGGCAATATATGGCTCACAATTCAATAATATTATGGGTTTGAGATACTTGCTATATTTTTATTATACCACTATCTGCACAAACTTGGTATGAAATACTCAATATACATGTCAAATCTATTGCATAAAGAAGTTTGCTTTCTTCTCTAAACAAGCTAAACAATGCAGTACTGTCACAAAAATGTAAAATATCCCAAAAATACTGAAAAAAATACTACATTAATTATTCTGTATCACCAGATTTAGTGTTGCAAAATATATTTATAATATATTAGCACACCTCATAGTCAAAACCCGAAATGCTGATTAAACCAGGACTAAACCAGGACCAAACCAGGATGATACCTGACCCAGACCTGGACTAAAGTGGGCTTATATTTGAAAAGAAGACTTCAGGTTAAATCCTAAACCATCTTTAAACAGGATTAAAACTGTCTTTCAATTAAACTAGGTTAGAGCCCCCAAAATCCCCTGGGTACTGTAACCCCAGATTGAGAAGCACCACCATAGAGAAACAATATCATGGATAATTAATTTGAATAGGCCTTTGAGATTATGGTGTATGTGCCTAATAAGCCATGGGAAGGTCATTATATTGGCTTAGTCCTATTAGCTGCTATATAGTGTAAACATCCCATTATAATGTGATTTAATAGGATTGTAATGGTGTGCGTCCCACATCCACGAAACTAATATATCTCTCTCTATGTGGTCCATGTACGATTGTGATAAAATGGCTTTATTTTTCCTAAATGTTGTCCAAGTTTAGTCCCGGTTTATAACAGGTTTAAAGAAGACTTAGTGTAGTTGTGTCAGGTATATAGTGATAATCTATGACACCCGTGGATCATTATGTTATCATTTGCATATTTTAAAGAGCAACATTCAGTATCTTTGATTAAGAAAATAAACTTGAAGAATGAAGTAAGCACAGAGCAGTGGGTGTGTACTAGTGGTGATGAAAACAGAGATTGATCGTCAAGATGGCGTCTAGAAAATAAACGATTAAAGACTGTTCAAACATAAATCGCTCCAAATACAACTTTGAGAGGGTAAATGGTGAGAGGAAACAGCTATAAAATGGTCAAAAGCTCTAAAAAGCTGATTTTGCATAATACGTCTGATTTAAATGTGGTTTTGGGAACAGTGTATTCAGTCCTACTATAATTAGTCTTAGTTTCATCTTGGTTTAGTTCTGGGTTAGT